CTTCTTCTTCTTCTTCTTCTTCTATGGCTCTCCAGTCCGTATTCGGTCCATGGCCTCCTCAATTTTCCTATTCTATTCGCGTATATCGAATTCCTAGCAGGGATTTTCTCCTGGTCTGTGGACTGTAGTTGTTTCAAGTGACTGAAATTAATTTCGTGGAACATGTAGAACGCACTGAGAAACTGAGACACGCGAAACCTGTCTCCTGAAATGGTGAACGGACTCATTTGAGAGGCACAAGTGTGTCAGGGGAGGGGCGATCATCGAACAAATGTGGTTCTGCGGATGTTACGTAAGAAATGGAGCTGGACAGCCCTGATGACCACTTGACAGCGTCATGGTGCAGGCCAGGGAATATCGTTTCAGTTAGTTGCCACGGCGAGTAATTAAACGACGCACGTTTTGCTTCATGCATCCGCACCGTCCTGATGGATCACGACGTCTGCAGGGTGAAGGTTTCAGAAAGCACAAAGCAATTCCGCGGGCTGGAATATCAGTCGCTGAAGAAGCACACAGTGTCGCTGGAATGGGTTTTTCTCTTCTTCTGTTTCCCCTCCTAAGAGCATTTCCACCACTGCTCCATGGCCGTTTGTCGCCAACCCGCGTCTGCGACAGCCTTGGCCAGCCAACTCAACTGTAACCTCGGCACAAATTCTGGACTAATTCTGCGACCTGGTCTCGGAGTCAAGGCAGTTCAGTCCCTCTTTTAGTTCAATCACTGGACGAGCGTGAAGGTAGCGCGAAACTCACGCCCTGGAATTCTGTTCTGATTGCAGCATGGGGTGTGCTGGCACTTGATTACGCCGACAGAAACCCCCCCCCCCAAAAAAAAAGCCGTGTTTTCGGGCTGTTTGGTATCTCCACTGTAACAATCTCTTCCCGTTTGACCTCCCTCGTCGCAGCTGTCAGCTGAGTCAGGCTTCTTTATGAGACTGCATTCGACCTGTTCTCTTGGCGCGGTTTCAACTGTACTGACCTCAGTGATTGATACTGCTCGCTCAATAGCGGAATGGTTCGTGGCATAAGGGTGTCGGCTTGGAATAGGCTGGGACCCTCGACATGAAATTACTCTGTGTCAAAATCTGCACGCAAAAGAATCGTCATCGGATTGGACGAACGAGATCGGACGGTTCTGAATTGGCATTTTTTGTCTGTTGGTCCGCGCGAATGTTTCAGAGGTCGAACAAAGTGAAAACGTTATTCGTCCCCGGTATGACATGGAAACGTAAGTGACGCGCAGTAGTGGAGAGAACGTACGTCTCTTTATCTGTAATTGCGCGCACTTCAAGGTCAGTGGCGCATGCAACGTCGCAAAGAACGCTTTCGTGAAAGAATGTGTCGACCTCTCCACTGCCGCTTCCTGGAAGGCCGTTCGAAAGACGGTTTCGTCCACGTCGTGCAGGTTTCCATCGCCGATTCCTCAGACAAACGGGCGCCAGGCACGAGGATCGTTCCTGCGGCGTCCGTCAGCGATCTCTTCCCAGAAATCGCAAAAGTTTGGGGTTCTGTCCTGCCAGTACCTCGAAATACCTTCGAGGCAGAACAAAGGGACGAATGCATGAAATTATAATTTCATATCGATTCTCTAAATACTCCCCCCCCGCCCCTCACAATTCCATCAGAATCAGTTGGCTCGCAAGGGCTGAACCCCATTGCTGCTACGCTTCGGGCACGAACACAGGAAAAAGGCGAATTAAACAGCTCCGGAAACTTCCAATCTTTTTCAGTATTTTCCGAGTGGTTCCATTTTCTTTGCATTAGACCAGGGGTCGGCAAACTACGGCCCGCCGCCTCTTTTTGTACGGCCCGCGAGCTAAGAACGGATTAAGATCATATGCTCGGATTCCAATTGTAGAAGATAGTCAGTTCGTATTTTCTAATAAGAAGAGTTTTTATTCAAACTCAAGACAAGAACGAAAGTGTACAGAAAAGATGAACAGCAGGTTACACGAAGTTGAAGTAATGACTTCTTGACCACTTTCTGATGCTGTGCCTTGGGGTCACAAGCTTATATAGAACATCAAACGAGATGGGTGAACAGTCAGGTCAAGAGATATGTCATTCTACTCAAACGCAACAGAAAATGTACCACCCCTAAAGGCCAGCTGCAACCTTCATGGGTCAGACGCACAATTGAAGGCGCCTCATTGCGTCTGCTTAGACTCGCTGCGGGGGACCAGAACCTACCTCTGAAGACACAGCTGCAAGTTACATGGACCACACACCCACATTTGAACGCGCCTCACATTGTCCATGCTCAGTCTTAATACGTGGAACGGGAACCTATGTTACACGGGAATTTATATCTGTATTTGGCAGCACCTACCTGTGTGAAAAGACATTTTCAAAGATGAAATATGCAAAATCTCAATACAGGTCAGCATTAACGGATGATTATTTACAATCAATTTTGATGATAGGGAGTACTGAATTTAAACCTCAGTTTGGTGAAATGTTATCTCATAACAGGCAATTCCATTCTTCACATTAGTAGAGCTGTATTTCAAACAATTGTAGTCTACTTATTATTATTATTACGTTACATTTTGTTCAATAAATTTGTTAAAACTTGGTTTCTTGTTGTTACATAAGGAGGCTTACCTATATAAATATCCTCGAGTTTACCTCTTGGCCCGCAGAGCCTAAAATATTTACTATTTGGCCCTTTAGAAAAAATGTTTGCCGACCCCTGCATTAGACTCATCGGACAGGAGGCAGAACTCTGGAACAAGTATTAATTTTTCTGTCGCGTGCCACTGGTGGTACGCGTGCCACACTTATAAATCACTGCTCTGAAGGTTGTTGACAATGTTTGATTCACTACGGAAACACTGCGTCAGACATTGCCCATTGTCTGGTTCAATTTGACACACACAGAATTTGTTTTGTCTGTTGCTCAAAGAGAAAAAACCTTTGACCTCGGCATTAACGATGAATGTTGTGGTGGGAACGTCTGAACCTTGTCAAAGGTACGAGGATTGAACTCTGCATAATGGAAGGTTTTAATAAATACGTTTCAACTGAGAAATTTGTAGCCAAAAATTTACCGCCGGTGGACCTCGGCGCGGGTTGCACTGCCAAGGTCAAAGCTTTCTCCGGAGTCTTCAGCTGATCGGTCGCGATTGAAATGGAACTTTTCTGTGTTCCTGATGATGACAAGGGCTTGGACCGCGCCCAGGATCCTTTGAGTGCCACCGGCGTGGCCAGAAATGGTTGACTCTACTCGTCTCGCAAACTGTCTTCCTGTTCCGCTCTAGACGGAGTCATAATCATCTCACGTCTGTGCCCCCTTCACTGATGGTCTCTGCTGTGTTCTGATGAACACCGATTCCTTCAGTTTCCCAATGATTATGTTTACTTCTTTGTGTGATACCAACCTTATTCATTATATTCTGTGGTCCTCGGCCCACGAGCTTTTTTTATGTTTCGGTAATTCTGGTATTAATTTGTCTTCTCGCCTCTCCTGTATACAGGGTGTATGTAAATTACCTTTATGAAAATACACGGAGAAGTTTGCGCGTCATGTGCGAGAGAGGCTATCGAAGTTTCAGCGAGCTGTCGGTAGATAGTACCACCCGTTGTTTTCCACTTCATTGCATGCGTCTTTTTGAATCAGGTCAGTCGCCATGAACCCGCAGGAGACGGCACGGAGTACGTGGAGTTCCTTGTCGGAGCGAAATCGGATACACAGGTCCGAAGACATTTCATATCAACGCATCCCAAGACGACGACGCCACCAGGACTATCATCAACATGTGCTTGGTGCAAACAGTTGAAGGAGACCGGAAGTGTTATGCACGTCCGTCCGCGTGTCTGATGAAAACCCCGGAAGGATCTTCGTCCGCGGTCCACGAGCTGCAGCAAATGCCTGTCGTATTCGACGGAGCGTCCGTCGAATGCGGTCTTACGAAGGCGTTCGTGTCTGCGTGCTTACGAGTTTTCGGTGGTCCTGATGACAGGGTAGCCCGTAAGGAATTTGCCGTTACCATGCTTGAGAAACTGGACGAAGACAGCGAATTCCTGAGGAAAATCATGATCTCCTACGCCAGATGGTGCGTATAATATTCTTGTCAAACTCTGAGACATTTCCTCGCATATGAGGCTCAGACATTGTGTCCATGTCTTTTCATAAAGGTTTCATCCAGGACTAAATTTTGTAAAGATAATTTATATACACCCTGTACTTGTCCCCGCTTTCGCGTGGGATGTTCTTTGTGTCCTGGATTTACTTCTGGAGCCTGACTTTGCTCCGGAGCCTAGTTCGTCGTCCGAATCGTCTCACGTTATTTTGCATTTTGGAGAAGGCTTATGTTTATAAATCAACGCCTTACGTAAGCGGAGGTATCACCTTGAAGCATTGTTCCCTATTCAAGTTTGCCTTGGTTTTAAATTCTATCTGTTCCTTTTTACTTGCAATGGAGTGGATATTTAAAACAAAACCTTCTTATCTCAGTCATGTTTTATGATAACCGCGGCACTTTAAATTTAGGAGACATTAATGGAATTTACTATGAATGGATCATTTTTTTTAGTCTCTCGTATTCTACTTGCAAAATTGGCTTCTGTGTCCCTGGAATTATTTTTAACAAACAAATTACATAAATTGAACTGATTTAGTATCTTGTTTGCGTGTTTTCCCCCCCCCCCAATTTGTTAACTCGTGCTTGCTTTGTAATTAGTTACGTCAGCACACAAATGAGTAAAGGACTGCACTGAATTACCTTTGGCTGTGCCCTGAATGAAATTATCTACATTAAACATTCCTGGCGCATTTATCGGCGTCTGTGTTAAAATTATCGCTCTACAAATCGTTTCTGTGGGAGACTGCTAGGGATTTTGACGCTCATGTTTAACGTCGGACTCTCCTAGCCTAAAATTCGAAATTCTGCACAGAAATTTCTTGATTTAACAGAAGATGGCCGATGTCCGGGGCAGTATTCTACCAGAGGACCTCCCCGCCCCCCAGATCTCTAAGAGATTATGCTCCGTGATACGAGGAATGCAGAAATAAAGAGAGGAAAATAAAAGAAACACGAAGGGAGGTTTTTACTAAAGTTCTGTGGTCAAATGCTCTTCCATTCGAACCTCGGAAGGTTAGGTTGTGATTAAATTGTTCTCGCTCTGCCGAATGTCTGCAGGAAAGCGGAATAGTACCGACATAGTCGTCGACTTTCCCGTCAGCTTCCTTCTGGCGCCAGGTGTCCTTCGCATTTAACACAGTGTAGTTGAAAGAACCATTCGGAAATCATTTACAGACTGGGAAATGCGGAAGCAGACGCAGTGATCGCAGTTGGCTTGGGGGGTTGCCGCATCGCCTCCGGCACAGTAGCAAAATACTCGCCGTTGGATCCGCTTGTATTCCTGTAGTTGGTAACTGAACATAGAAGCCAGCTCAGTCTTAAAGCTGCCCTCTGTGAATTGTGCAAGACTGTGTAGGTGGACGCAGCTGCAGGCTCAAATAACACGCACGAATACAACGAAAAAATTAAAAGCTCAATGCTTGAGACTCACCCACCAATTTACGAATCATCCCAGACGCATTTTATGATCTGTGTGGACGTCGCACTGCGTAAGTGAAGAACAGAGTCGACTCGGGAATTTGTTACCGCTGAAGCCACTTCGTTCACCACTGACAGAGTTCGTGCACCGAATGGAGGAGAAAATGGCGGCGTAGCACGAACCGAGGTTTTTGCCACTGCAATAGCCCACTTTCTCTTCTGAATCACGATAGCTTAAAGGAATGAAAAAAGTATTTTTTCTTTTGGAATTATTGGACCGAATTAAAAGGATTGTTCGGTGCAACAGTAGGTGTTTGTTGAAAACATGTCTGCGTCTTGCATTTTTACAGTAAGACCAATTGCAGTTTGTATTGTATTATCCTGTTAAATAACCGATAAACATTACAAAGTGCCAGGCGATGACGCAAGACGGTGGCCTTGTGACGATAAAAGAAGCATTACATTTTGGGACGCTGTTCTCTTGCTGCGAGATTTCTTCAGTAACGCAGCTCCAGGTAGTAATTTAATTCGTTCCTGTAACGAACGGCGTCCGCGTGTTCTTGTGGCAGTTTTGACGCCGACGCACAAAAATTTTTCTGACAACTCCTTTATTTTTCGCGGGTTCAAAGTGAAAGTCCCCAGAGAATGTGCGTCAATCCAGGGTATTTCAGAGCAAAGCGCTGAGGTGAATATTTGGACGCATCAGCGTTGATCTAGCAGGATAGAGAAAATTACATGACGAGGAGCTTCGTCACAAACTCCAGAGGCATGATGGGAATGAAACCATCAAGTTCTTGGTGTATCAGAAACTGGTCGGTCACCGAACTTACGACGAATCGCTTCATCCGCCTTGTTCTGCTGCAACCCGCACGTTCACTCCGCTCCGCTGTGGCGAGAATCGCGAACGAAACTTTGCATGTCAAAATTTTCGGGTCCCGTGTTGAGTGGGACATTTGCCACCACGTTGCGGTCGCAGGAGAATGTCTCCCGATATGAAGGGCAGATTCAAATATATTGAATGAACAGTCGCCGACAGCCGACAGGGGGTGATCCTCCGGCTTTGAGTTTGAGCGGGGGCAATAACCCCTGACCATAAGAGAATCAGCCTGTGAACACAGTAATGAACATTCGAGTTCTGTAAACGGCGAGGAATTTATTGACTAGCTGAGCGTGCTTGAAGGACTTTCTCTCGGCGGCCACAAACGGTTTGTGATTGGAAGGTGAGGGGTGTCCAAGCGGTCGCCGTCCCCGCCAAGCAGCAATCTGGCCGCCATTTCAGTCACCATCATCTCGGTGATGTTTCAGGTTCCGACGGCTGCGAGTATGGCGATGGATGTCTTGTAGAAATCTGCCGACGTTTCAGAGATGCTTGTTGCCTCCATCATCAGATCTTAATGTCTCTCAGCCCTACTCTCCGAGGTTGTTTCAAGTGGATAAAAGCAGCCGTTTCGCAGGCAGTGTTGCCAACACTTGGCCACGAAATCCTGTCAACGTTCGCCCGCATTCTGTGCCACGGAGTCGCCTGACACCGACAGCTCGTACGTCCAACGTAACAACACAGAATCCCGTCTTTGACGCTCTGTCACGTAGGCCTGTCTGAAATGTGCCACATGAAACATAAAACTTTTCTCGCCTTCGTTTTCAAAAGACAGGTGGGCCTATTTATGAACCTTCTGGGTCTGAAACAATCTCTTTGGGTGCGTGAGTGACATTTGAAGAAAATCCGGTTTTCGGCCAGCGAAATTATTTAAATTTTAAAACCCCTAAATGAAAGTTTTATGGGGGGGCTGTGTTAGATACGTACAGGCTATTGCAGGAGGAAATTTTGCATAATCTACAGCTTTATGCCACTAGTGTTTTGTGGAAACTTCAATAAAATTTCTGTTCGAGCATATCATATAGCGACGAACACGAAAATTGGCTGTTGGTGTCAGGAGGGGTTTCTTGGACCTTGGGTCCAACGGGAGTAATATTCTTGGCGCTAAGTAAAAGAATGTTGGACAACCCTGATCAGACTGCAACTTAAACGCACAGCAATTCGCAACGCGATTGTACAGATCGAGGCAGCCAGACGCGACACAGTTTCAGCTGACGACGAGATTTTAGAGGCGAACTTTGTGGTCGTTGCCAGTTCTCTGCATAAATTCTTATTAACCTGCAACACGAACACGCAAACATGCAAGCCGCAACCGTGTGACTTCCATGGAGAGAGTGTAGAAAAACAGCGGGAGAGATTACTGATGAAAGAGATTATCGGCCTCGACAGCAGACGAGTCTGTGAGTTCAGCCCTGTCGAAAGCCTGGGCGAGATTCGAACGCAGGCCTCACAGCAGGGCTCACGATGGCAGGCGGCCTTCTGTCTTCTCTTGTCCCCGCATTCGCCTCTTTGAAATGACGAAGGTTTCAGGACCTCCAACAGGCTAGCTGATCCCAGTCATAATCGAAGCAGACGCCTTCTGAATACGAAGGGAAACGTGTTCACCGACCACGTCCTATCATTAATCAACTCTCTCGCCATGCTGACGTACAAACAAGTTAGACAAGTTTTTTTCCGCGCTACAAAAACGCACGATTTCCTCGTGCGTTTCTTGCAACGTGCACTTCGAGGCATAAAATTCGCATTACCCCTAGAAATAAATTTGCAAATGTTGAAAATTTAAAAATTCTACATTTAAATTTCCAAAAATTTGTGGACACCCCCCTCTCGACCCCTTTTGCTTCTATAAACGGTCCTGGAACGCAGATATTCACCCGGAGTACGAGAAAGGCCACGTCGCTTCTGGCAAAATATCTGACGCCTGTCATGGCGAGCGTTAAGTAATACTTCCGGCTTTGTTTCGTCCTACATTCGAACTGTCAGACTCGCAGCTTCCGCAGAGCGAGGGTGTCACTGTCAAGGTCCAACGAGTCGACCATTAATGGCCGGCGACAGACAGCAAGTGTCTATTAATGTCGATTTAGGAGAACGGGTTGGCTGTAGGAGCTGGCGTTCGGGTTCCTAGGTACCGTCTTCGAGTCCTTTCCAGAATTTGCCTTCTTGTTCTCCTGTGTCTCCCCAAACACACGTGAACAGGATGCAGGCGAGGCCGGCTCTACCGCAGAAGGAAATTCGTGATGTTTCGCGGCAACTGGGATTCCTCCAGGGCGAAGGCCCTCCCTCGACTCAGCCGTTCGTCACAACCAAGTTATTCTCGTTGGCAGATTTCAGTATCATTGTTAACACAGACGGGCGTCGGGAGAAACTGATGTCTGTCTTCTGTATTGTGACACTGGGCACATAGACTTGTGGGTAGACGCCATTGTTTCGGAGGAACATACTGTCTTCACTTTCAGGCTACGTCGACACATTGACCGCCGCGAGAAAATCAGATCTCACAGGCCTTTGGGAAGTCACAGCATGGAATCAACAGACCTAAATGCTGAGAGGCGCTGAAAATATCGTATGCATGTAAGTGTATAATATGTCCTTGCCGCCTCATCTTCCTAATGATGGAGGCAGCTGGGACCTTTGAAACGTCGGTGAACTTCTACCAGACTACAAGGCGCAACGACCCAGAAGACAGCCATCTTCTGAGATAACTTTATTTGTAGTCACTTATTTAAACTGTGTTGCTGTGCTAGTTGTTTCATACTGTGGTAATATTAATAATCTTCAAATTAGTCATAATTGGGACGAATCGGTCACAGTGTATATTAGACCACTGTTTATGTATTTATTCATTTGTTTTGTGGTTTATGCTAGGACGTTGCCAGCAGTCAGAACTTTAGCTGTCTCATCGAATGACAAAACGAGTGATGAATAATGAAACGAAAAGGATAAGGAACGAAGAGGCCGTGGCCGATTTCGAGATTCTCTCCTGGCATTTGCCTCGGATGACTGAGGAATACCACGAAACACTTTAGACAGGATAGTCTGTTTCCGCTCCGGCGTTTGAACCTGGGACCTCCCGAATATGAAACATGAGGCACTGAATATATTGTGCAGAATGAGCCTGTCCTTAGACGCCCCAGACTTTAAGCAATAAAACCACTGTTTGCACACCGACGGTGATCGGACGTTTCGAAACTTTATTCCGTTACAGCTCCGCAATCCTGGTGGGTGTTGGTGTCATACGACTTTCGGTTGTCTTTGCTTCGACGTCAAGGAACTTTTTCTTGAGGCCGAATTGCCGATTAAGATAAATCAGATTTTTCTGCTGAACGTGTTTTCGCAACATCATCGAGGCATTAGATTAGATAACTTGTGTACGGGACTGAGACGCCGTGGTTGACTGGTTAGCTGTCCGAACTTTGCCGAAGTTGGATCAGTGACGCGTTGTTGCGGTATTCCGAACGATTGCTGGGCAAATATTCATTTTCGTTCCAAATTTTTTTTAAAATATGATTATAAAAATTGGTTGTCTGTATGAAACCAAAGAAAATCGGTAACACAATAAATTATCTTATTTTGGTGCAATTAGGCGCGTTTTGCATAGAACTTTGTTTTAAAACACTTGTAATTTGTGTTCCTCGCCCAAAGTAAGAGACCAGATTTCTTACAAAACACTGCCGAATTTACGTTTTAATTGTTAGGAGGAAAAATTTGTGAGGACAAATAATATGTTCCGGTGTAGCGTCACATCTCAGCTGTTTCTGACCTTTGTAATCAGTCATTTATGAGCACGCAGAGTTATTTTTGCGGTGTGTGGCTTAGTAACGGTACCCTGTGTTTGCATGAACACCAAGGCCAAAGACGAACGCAAAATCACAAGCATCACGTACTCCAACACGATCACGCTTTTCCACTGTGTTTTGTAATGAGCCGAACAATTTCCTAGCAGGTGACAGTCTCCTTCCAGATTCCTTCGTTCACAAGTTTAAGGAATCAGACGCAGAACTGTGTGAACGCGTGCGACGTCGTTCCCTCCACAACGACAGAAGAGTTCGACAGATTTTCATGAAAAGTGACTTGCGCTCTTTTGATTTCCAGTTATCAGTAGTGCCAACATTGTCTCCGTGTTAGCCAGTGTAGTTTCCTCCGCTTCTGGGTTCGCAGCTGTACTAGCGTCACCTAACACAATGGATATATGCAAAGCATTTCTTTAGATGTGTCATAAGTTACTTTGTGTTTGATTAATTTAACGGCCTTTCAATTTGACAAAATATATTCATTCTGAATGGCGTATGATGGAAGAAAGCGGTCGTCGCCTTACTGAACCCTGGCATTTGCCTAGAGGGACTCAGAAAAACAAGAAAGCGCTGCCCTCACAGTGCTGCCAAATGTGAACTCGGCCAATAGGAAGCGACCTTAACGCGACGTTTGGCTACGAGTAAACAACGAAGTTCTCCTGTAGTGTGTTCAGTTTTGCCAGATCCACGCATTGGAGTGAGGCATTCAGTGTAAGAGAGTCCCAAGCAGCGTCTGCATTTCTTTGTCATTCTAATAACAACAGTTGAGTCAACACTGCCATTACCGATATGGACACAGTCGTCAACCAGTGTTATCAGCCTCCTATCCACACAACATAGCGTCCTCAAATTCACCTTGATGTTATCTGCCCACTTCCTGATTCGTTCTCTAAGTGCCCTCTTCGAAAGTGGGTTTCCCCACCAGAATTCTGAATGCAATTGTTGTTTCCCCATCCCAGTTGCATGAACACCAAACCAAAGCTTGATTTCGCTTCCAACGACAATAGGAGAGACTTGCCAAAAATGTCTAGTGTTGTTGTAACCTAACCTAGATTGTGGCATTCAAGGATAAAAAACAGGAGAGTTCTTCGATATGCTGGCAACCGCCTACAAGACTACATGACGTCATATCGCAGAAGAGGGAAATCCCTATTCACGTAACCGTCGTATACAACATTGAAAAATGCCTGCTCAGTGCTCTGAGGGCTAGATATTTTCGAAAGCACTGTGTTTTCAAAACACTTTCAGTTCATTTTCTACACTGAAAGTAAAGACACCAGAAAACAACGGTCACAACTATTTCTTTCAGTTCGACATTAAATAACATTTGTAGTTGATGCGGTATTGCTAAATAGCCTACCTAAACAATTTTTTGCCGTCTTCATAAGAACATCAGCGAAATAGGTGGTCGCCTATGTGCAAAGAAAGGTTAGCGGTTCTGCGTTATTCGCGACTTTTGTCGCATCAGACAAGAGTCCAAGACGGAAACTTAAATAAAAACTGCAATTAAACGTAATCTAATTGTATTGTGCCACATGAAGGCGGCATTAAGGTTGGAGAAGCGTCTGGTGAAAGTCGTCTTAAGGAAACTGAGCGATACGAACCAAGACAAACACTGGCGTAAACACTTCGAGCCACCGACGTTCTCAGCAGACGCTGACACAAGACTGCACTGTGGTTCACGCTCAGACACTTTGCTTTGCCGGTACGAAAAACACTAATAAGAGACGCTGCTTTCTACAGGTGTTGGACGAACGCCTTCTGCGTCGAACTACCATCCAGAGACTCACAGGTCGAACTGTGACCTACACATTTGTTTGCTGGG